TATCCCTATTTTTAAACTGTTAGACGTACAGTCTTGAAATTTGATAAGCAGATTCCTTTCGTAAAGTAGAGAACCGCTACAAAATGGGTTTCGCGAATATCAACTACTAAGTTTAATTTCGGGAGATTAAGAGGCGTAATCGATAAATATTTCCATTTTTAAACTACTTGATCATCCTGCTTGAAAATTGGTAGGCATGTTCCTTTCATGAAATAGAGTTCCTCTAACAAAGAGTAAAATGAAAATTGACCCCCAAAGATGTTTGCGAGGGGTCAAGAGGAGTTACAGAAAAAATTCCTGTTTTTAATTGTTAGACCCATATATTTGAAATTTGTTAAGCATGTTTCTTTTGTTGAATAGGGATCCATTAAGAATAAATTTTAAGCAAATCAAGTTCTGGGGGTTACTGGGACTTATTAACAAAAAAAATTACTTTTTTCGAGCTACAAGGACTATAATAATGAAATTTGGTTTGCATTTTTCTTTTGTTGAATTGAAATCCGCTAAGAGCGGTAATTTTGGAAAACGGCTCTCAACCGGATTACATGGATATTTATAGTAAAATTTTGCTTTTTTCTGTTAGATTTAGACTTGAAATTTGGCTTGCATGTTCAATTTACGGAGTAGAGATCCACCGAAAATTGGTTTTGCGGGAATCCACTTGGTTTTTGAGTTACGAAAGAGCAAACATCATTCTATGCTTCAATTTTGGAGATTTTTAGAAAATACAAATTAGACGAGTTCTGCCCTTTTTTTTTTATCGACAGGTGACAGTTACAGGTATAAGTATATTTTTCAATTCAATCTAATTCTTAATGCTAGGACCTAGATATCAATAATTTATACATATATATAAGCAGTAAAAATTTATAAAACATCATGAAATACCCAGCGAAGCGGGCGGGTAACAGCTAGTATTTTTATAACTACAAAAATAGTTGTTCACCGGGATTGGGTAGTTGATGGGATTCGAACCCATGCGAGGAAATTTCCTCCAGACGATAACAGGGAACGCCTGACTCCTTAACCACTCGGACACAACTACCGGGAGTACACAATTTCTGGGTTCAGCGGTTCGTGAGAAGATAGCCTGACATAGGTAGATACATATTTTTTGTTTACCCACAAATATTAATAGCGTAAATCCCATTGTAAAATGAATGCGGGTTTCAAACATCAATTTTCTTTTTAGAGAAATACGTTATAAATCTAAAAAATGTAATTGTGCACCGGGTATGGCAGTTGATGGGATTCGAACCCATGCGAGGAAATTTCCTCCAGACGATAACAGGGAACGCCTGATTCCTCAACCACTCGGACACAACTACAGGTTCTTCCCTGACCAAATACAGATGTGACTCACAAGAAACTGAAAAAGAAATGTTTGGGCTTCAATTATATTTACTTTATATTATTCGCAGATTCCTTTTATCATACATATCGATTTAAATACAAATACCAAAAAGCCAGTTTTTAAAAATAACAAAGTAAATAGGGTTCTTCAACATATAACTAACTACACATATGCAGCCAAAGCATGAACCACAACATCGGATACATCTATTTAAATAAAACTATCTATCTAATCATCTATTCCAAAAAAATCGTAGACTTTAAATATCAATTCTAACTAAAAGTAGGCAGAAAAATTTCATTGAAAGTAATTTTAAAAAAATACATTTTTAATCTATAAGAAAAAATGCGCTGCGGGTATCGGAATTCATAGGATTCGAACCCGAAACCCTCCTAAACACGTAGGTTTACCCAGTAGGCTTCCCTACCGACTTTGTCACAACTACCGGTCCGAGTGCTACTAAATACAGATGTCACTCACACACAAGCAACTGAAAAAGCGATTATAAGGGTTTCAGTTCTATTTATTTTATATTATTCGCAGATTTCTTTTTCCAGACAAACCGAGTTAATTGCACACACCAAAAAAAACAGCCAGTTTTTAAAAATAACTAAGTAAAAATAGGGTTCTTCAATATATAACTAACTACAAATATGCAGCAAAAACATGAAGAAAATTGGATTCATCTATCTTACGAAAACTAGGAAGATATTTTGCTTCAAGATGCGATGTAGACATGCATATAACGAAAAAGCAAAGTAGATGGATGCTATTAAAAAAAGTACGTAGATGAAGAAATCGGAGAAACCAGCAAAAAGTAGTGGGGGGCGGGGAGGGGTGAAAGAGAAGTATGTGTATATTTTTTTTCTTGTTCATATTATGTAGTACATAATATCATATTACAGCAAATGCAACTAAGGAATTTAATTATGAGCTTATTAAAGAGTCTTTTACCATCATTATTGATAAAAGTAGAAACATATAGGATTCGAAAATATTCCAGCCATACTAATATTTTAAAACCTTGCCCGAATAAATGTATTCATTTCATTAATTGATTTTTTATTTACATATTGCCAAAGACGAAATTTACAGCTCCTAAATCTTTTTCATCGGAGATTTTCAGTATCAAAATATGATATTGGAATAAATGCAGCATATTTCACGGGGAGGGCACGACTAAGAAAATGTAATCGGAGTCGAGACTTTGTGTAATAGTAATACTCCTTTAGGATGTTCAACCCTCAATGTAATAGTGCCGAATGAGCAGTCAATTCAGATAAAATAGCCTTCGAAATTTATACTTAGCTTTCATAAAATAACTTTCAACCAGCACTAGCGGTACAGTACACGGTTGTTAACGTACCTGCGTACTATGCGGTCGAATAGGGTTCGAGTCGTGTTTTCTTCCAATTCATTTAATTTATACAATTAAATAAATTTATTTAAAAACACAGCTTATCAAATATAAAATGACATTTTATAAAATTATTTTGTATTTTAGGAAGAAAAATAATTATTACAATAACATAAATATTTATTTTACATTTTATACATATATTTTTACAATATTATTTATTATATTGTATTAAAATACACTAATATAATTATTTTGTACTTTCAAAAGTAAATATAGTTACAAATAGTTTCATAATATATAAATTATATTATAACATTTTATTATATTAATTATTTTTTAAGTAACATGCCCACATTACAAAATAATATAAATCTTATTCAATATATTATTAGTTTATCATTTTATAATTATAAAAAGTACTTAATAAGCCTTTTTGAATAACTTTATTTAATTTTAAAAATAATTAAATGAATTGGAGGAGAAAAAGTTGATCGCGCAACTCGAACCCTATCCTACTGTGTAGTACACAGGTACGTTAACACCTTTACTACTGTACCGCTAGCGCTGATTGAAACATAACTGTATGAAAGCTAAAATTGAATTTCGAAGGCTATTTTCTCTTAATCAACTGCCCATTCAGCACTATTACATTGAGGGTTGAACACCCTAAAGAAGTACTACTATTACACAAAGTCTCGTCCCCAAATGAATTTCCTTAATTGTGCAGTCCCCTTGTTAGTTAAATATTACTTCTCGATTTCTCCTAAACAGAATGTGTATAAAGAGGTAGCATTGCAGATCCTACATTAAAAATAAAAAGACAGAGCATTCATCCTTTAATAAAATACGTTACCGAACAAACCATATCAAAACAAACACACAGTTTAAAGTTTCCAAGCAACTTTTACATCTTTTAAAAGAAGCAAAATATATACCTCTCCTAAAGTTTAAATCGAAGCTCATATTTGAAAGCATTCTAACTTTTACAGGAATCAAAGACGAAACTTTTGGAATAAATATAAGGCTTTGGAATAAAAATTAGCTCTTCTCGAAGCTAAAAAGGCAATCTGCCTTTATTTTCATGTAAGGATTAAATTTCTTTTTTTAAAAAAAATTCACAACAGTTTCTAGGAAAGTTAGTTCATGGTACATTCCCATGGTAAACGAGGTCCTTCGGCAAGCGCCCAGGAAGTGGACGAAACAACTGTTTCTTCCATTTTTAAAGTTTTACTGATAAGCAATCACGTCTACCAAAAAGTTATTTTTTTCATTATTATTTCATTAATCACGGAACACAATTATTTTCTGAATCTGGTAAATCAAAATTGCCACATTTTTTTCTTACGATGATCTCAATATTTTTTTAAACTGATTTCTGGATATAAATTCCTTTCTTCCCCTCATTTTGAATTTTTAACACAAACAGCAGAAATAAAGAATTTTCTATTCCAGAAAAAAACTTTACTTTGGATTTACTTTCTTACACAAAATAAATAAAAAGGAGTCGAACCGGCATTGGTAATAGATAGAATTCGAACCAATACAAGATGTTCTTCCAAATATATATAAGAACTAATGCATATTTATTTTCCATAAAAAATTTTACTTGCTTTTAAATATTCCTAAAATGAGCACCAATTAGACAGAAAATAAACGAATTCTAAAATCCTCAAAAAAGTATCAAAATGGAATTCCGCAAGATTACATTTCATAATGTTTATCATTAAATAAACGACTCACTGATTAAACTTCACTTTTTATTGAAATTTTATAAAATAAATGAATAATACATAACTCTCTCTCTTTTTCTAAGATCTATGAAACATTTATTTCAGGTGACAATAACTTCAGTTATATTTCAGCTTCCTCCCAAATAAAATTTAAGTATAAAATTGATATACTAAAATAAACACGGTCATCAAATAGCGAATTTTTCTAAAAATAGGGGGAGGATTAAGCGGGTGTCGGACCTGGCGGCCACCAGGGGACCGCAGCGTTGGTAGGGGCCCCAAGCTTGATGAGTGCAAAGGCCAGCGACAAATCAACCGCGCCACCTTGGAACAAAAAATGAAAAGAAAACAAAGTTACACCCCGCTAGAAATTTATCGGCATGCAAGAAAAATCCTAATGTAGAAAAACTTTTGAAAATATTTTTAACAATACTGATATGGAATGCATCAGGTGAATGATCTTTTTTAGTTTTAAAACGTGTTATAAATAATTTAAGAAGTACTATGGGAGAAAAGACAATTTGAACAACATGGCCATATTATATACAGAATAAAACGTTTTGGACAAAATAGATATGGTAAAAATAATTGAGATGAATTTGCTAAAGAGAAATCAAAGTGTATAGCAAAACTGTAAGCTCTTAAGTAAGGTTTTTAATATTTATATATATATATATAGTTAAGATTTTTCTTTAGCCGATGAGTTTTATTATATCACTACATTTAATTTTGAAAATTTAAAGTAAATGACTCTTTTCACTATTTTAGTTTTTCGACTCTTAAGCCCATGGGCCCCAAACCTTTTAACGCCAGGGCCTCCAACTACCTTAATCCGCTTCTGGTGTACAGTTGCGATATAAAGTAATTTACCAAAATTCACCAATATTTTAATGCTTTTTCTATACCAAATATTATCAATAATAATAATAAAAAATTACAAAGATCATTTTTATCTATACAAATAAATAAAATTGAAGTGTCTGTTTGTAATTTCAAATTAGCAGCTTTTTACTTAATGCACTAAAAGTATATACGGTACTCATAACAAAAAAACCAATTTTTTAAAATTTTTGTCTGTCTTCTATCTGTCATAGTCTGTCTATCGTTATGTTGTCTTTTTGTCAGTTTTTACCAGTAATCTAAAACGGTTTCATTTTAAAAATTCTTTTACTAATGAAACTACATTAACAAACAAGCATATCATATTCCAGTTTTTTAAAAAATCGAAGTATTCGTGATACTTGAAATAATCTATATATTAAAGAAATTAACGCTCAAGACTGAGCTAATCGAAATCTTGTTTTGATTAAATTGGTGACATGCCTTTATGTAGACATAATAGTTTTCGAATTGAAACGCTAACGTACGTAATTTTAATTTATTTATGTTATCTACTGTTCATTTAAATTGAGCTAGCGGATTCACTTTCAGAATAATAAATCGCTACAAAGTTTGCTAAAAAGCAATTGCAAGAACTTATAAAAATATAAGTTTTGACGCGTCTAAGTTTTAATCCTTTCTTTTTATTATTTTTACATTTAGTCACATTTAAACAATAGTTATTATAATCCAAGTCTATTAAATCTATTCACATACCTAGCTGAAAATTGTAGGTAAGTTTCTTTCTGATAAATATCCGCTACAAATGTTTTGGAAAATTGACCCCAAGGGTGTTGCGAGGGCGGGGGTTTAAGGGGCGTTATAAATTCCTAATTTTAAGTTATTAGACGTACAGTCTTGAAACTTAGTAAGCAGATTCCTCTCATAGGGTAGAGATACGCTAAAAATGGGTTTCGTGAAAATTGCCCCCAAGTGGCGTTGAGGGGACTTAAGGGGCGTTATAGATAATTATTTCCATTTTTAAACTATTAGACGCACAGTCTT